CCGCTCCTGGCTGGCACCAGGCCTGAGTTCTTCTGCCACAGGTATCATGGTGTGTCCTGCAGGAGGGACCTTGCAAAGTCCATGCAATTTTCAGATCTGGAGCCAGGTGCTGGCCCTAACCCAGGAAGGAAGAAGTCCTCTGCCCAAGGAAAAGTCCCAGGGTAGGTAGTGGGGGGCGGTGTCTAAGCAGCACGGATCCCTGTATCCTTTGTAGCCATGGAGGCTGCCACGGGACCTCAAAGAATTAGGTTGTTTCTGTGAGAGCTTCAGGTCGATAACCACGGACATTTTTGAAGGCTTATGTGCATCTGGGGTTATTTTTATCACTAGTAGATCTTTTAATCCTCATCAGGACCCCATGAAGTTGAGGTTGTCACAAAGCAAGATTACAGCAATTTAGTTGGAAGATCTTAACTGGTTTCATTTTGTCATTCTAGGATCAGGCAATGCTTCATCCCATGATGGGCCGAAAATAGCAGGAAAAAAAAAAAAACCCACAAAAAGAGGATTGGTTGTTTCAAAGTCACAGAGCAATATAAAAAATGGATTAGTAACAACATCAGGTTACTTTTTTGTAAGGGAGGAAGCAATGGAAGCTTCATTATCTGCAGGTTGAAACTGACCTCTGTGTGTGTGTGTGTGTGTGTGTGTGTGTGTGTGTGTGGTACTGGGGCTTGAACTCAGGGCCTTGTGCTTGCTAGGCAGGTGCTCTACCACATGAAACACTCTACCAGCCCAAAACTGACCTGTTTAGGAAACGCAGCTGCTGTCTCTCTCTTGATGTCCTGGAGATAGCTTAGTTTTGGTTTGGTGACATGGAACCATATTTATTTATTTATTTTGATCTGGTCCGTTGTGATCCAGTGCAGCAGCCTAGTCTTAACCAACGGTGTCCAGTAATTTGTGTTTAACAATGTCATTATTATCTCCTTTTTTTTTGCTGTATGTGGTACTAGGGTTTGAACTCAGAGCCTACACCTTGAGCCACTCCACTAGACCTTTCTTTTTGAGATAGGGTCTTGCAAACTATTTGCCTGGGGTTGGCTTTGAACCATGATCCTCCTGATCTCTGCCTCCTGAGTAGCTAGGATTACAGGCCACTGGTGCCCAGCTTGTTATCTCCTTTTAACAGATGGAGAAACTGAGGCAATTTGAGGTTAGAGCTTAGCCACGTTCATACAGCTGGTCACTGTTAGGACTGAGGCTGAACCCAGGCCATTCAGTGTAAGTCCAGAGACCAAGTTCCTCATTATTGTGCTAATGAATATCCAGAACCCTAACTGCTAAATCATAAAACCTTTGCCCAGCCATCCTGAAGGAAATTCCTGGTGCAGTCTTTTGTCTATATACCCCCTTTCCAGGCAGCAATGCAACTGTTAGCCGGGTATTCGCCTTATCCCTTTAGGGGTCTTTATAGCTTGGCATGATGCCTGGTACATTTAGGAAGTCCAGCTCCAGACTCTGTGCTCTTAACCACCCCTGAACCAAGTGTCTTTTAAAAAATAATGGAAATGAGACAAGCCATCTTTGCAGATATGAAAATGCAATTTACATTGATTCTTCTAATGCAGAGCACAGCCTCTCCAGAAGGTGCCTCCACCCCTTTCTCCCAGGCCCTGAAGGGCGGCAGGTCAGGGTGTTGACCTTCCCAAAGACACCTCAGCCCTCCTGGCCTCTGGCTCTCACCTCTCCACCTGTTCTGTAGGGCAAGCCCAGGGCGGGGGAGGTTGAGATTTAAGGTGGTGCAAATGCAGAGCGGGCGCCTGAGAGTAATTCGTGTTCACTTTTGCTCCACTAGAACCTGGCTTGCCGCATGCTATTCTTGACTTTCTTAAAGACAGGACTGAGCAGGTTATCATCTGCTCCAGAACCCCTATAGCTCCCCATTCCATGTAGGAAGAGAAAGGACTGAGTCATTGACTTGGTAAGGCCAAGAGGGCGAAGCAGAAGGTGGTCTCACACTAGACAGGAGCATCCTGGATGTCCGTGCAGCACACAGTTGCTGTGTGGGGACTGGATTTGCCCACTTGTCCCTAGTGGCCCATGACTGCTCCATGAAGTGTGCCTGGCACCTGCTCAGGGAATTCCTACAAGTGCTCCTCCAGCTCAGGTAATCTGTGATCTATGCAGATAAAGAAACCCAAATACTGTCCCTGGTTTCAACTACTCTTCCTGGCCTTAACCAGTGTTCCAGCCTGAAGCACTTGACCTCAATTGTTCTACCTGACCTCATATATTCTCCCTGGCTTTCAAGTAGCTCACTTAGTCTCACCTCATTCTCCTGGCCTGACCTAGCCCACCTGGCCTCAGTTAGCCTTGCCTTGGCCTAAATTAGTCATCTCTCTTTGACTTCAGCTGGTCCCTCTGACCTCAAGTAACCCTGGGTCTTCATGGCTTTTCACAGCTTCAATTTGCCACGTGAATTTCCTTCCTTGTAGATTGCTTCTGCCCACACCTGAGAGGTGTTACCTCCTTCTGGGACATTCCTATGGTCCTCAAGGCCCAGCTCAAGTGCCCCTGGAGTGAACTTTCCCTTTTGCTCCCTTCAGGATCATGTCTGTAGTGCTGGTCTCCTGGGGAGGGAAAGCGGATCACCTTCAATGACCCCTGCCACACACCAGGCATGGAACCAGGGCTTGGCAGGCAGGAGTTCCCCTTGCTCCCCACCCATCCTTATGAAATGGGAGTTTTGGACCCAAGGCCCAAACTCCTGGGATTCCATATGCCAGGTCCGGCCATTCACCCCTATACACCAAATAAAGAGGCATGGTGAAGGCAGAGAAAGGTTTATTATATGGCTTGGGACATGCCATGGGAAGAGGCAAAGTAAGCACTCAGCCCATCTTTAGCAATCTTTGGGGCACAGACATGGGCTATAGATTTAAATAGACAAAGAACTGGGGGCAGGGGACAAAAAGGTATACAGAGTTAAACAGTTGAGTCACAGATGTGGTCTTGTTGGTCATTATCTCAGTCCTTGTTCTGGGAGAGGTTCCAGAGTTGATATCTGGATTCATTGTCAAGTGGCAGGTGGTCCAGCCTGAGGAAGGCCTGCTGTTGGGGGTAGTTTCTGTCCCTTGTCATGGAGATGTTATCAGTTCTGTCTTTCCTGGAATCCAAGGTGACTGCAAGGTGACTGCAAAGAAAATGGCTCAGAGAACAGACAGATACAAAATGAAGGAAAGATGGCATGCTTTTCGTTAATGTGTGGACCTGAGTAAGGAATCCATGCTTTTCAGCAAAAGCAGTTTGAGCACCTCTTGCACTCAGACCACCCAGGCATCTGTTTCTCCACTTTACAGAAGACTGAGGCTCAGAAGGGTAAGTAACCTGCACTAGACCGTATTTTCAGGAAATAAAATTCAAGCTATGAAACCCCAGACTGTCTGACCCACAGCTAGGACATCCCCCAGCCCCATGGCCTCCCTGGGCCTGGAGCATGCTGTCAACACATTTGTGGTTGAGTGGATGATGGAGAACACAGGCTGTGTACACCAGGTCTGAGATCACACAGACATAGTCCCAGTGGTTGGGTCAGCTATGAGCTGACAGAGAACTGGTCAGCACAGAGCAGCCACCAACCAGAACGTACAGTCCATTGTCTACATCTGGGCTCCATGTGCCAGTGCACCTTCCTGAGCAGAGCAGATTACCCAAAATGTGACCACAAGGGTGTGTGTGGGGTGGGGTAGGGGGCGCTGGTGAGACCAGACATTTGCATTATAAAGCAACTCTGTTGGAGTGAAGGCTGGGAGCTGAGTTTGCTGGCTTGCAGAAAGCTTCTGGGCCTTTCCATAGCTGGGTCTCCATGGAAATTTGTTTGCTGAGAGAAAGGAGCTATTTTAAGGACAAGCAAAGACAGACCTGGTAGGCTGGGGTTAGGGAAGGTAGCTGTGGGAGAGAGCTTTTCTCAATGACTCACTAATTTCCCTCCTATGGGCTGGAAAGAAATGGCACGGAAAAGCAACAGAAACCCTGAGGGAGGCAGAGCAACCTGGCTGCCTGTCCTACAGGTGGCATGGAGCCATAGCAGCTGCACTCTGAGCCCATGGCAAGGCACCAAGATGCCCCTGCACTGCTGCCAGAGACCCTCCGTTATGATAACAGGAAATCAGAGGCCTTCCACCAGCTTTCAGATAATTACGTAGAGGACAAATTTGCTTCTTAAAGAAAAAGTGAATCCGGGCTCCCGCCTGTAATCCTAGTTACTTGGGACCCTGGGATTGGGAGAATTGGGGTTCCAGGCCAGTTCAGGCAAATAGCTTGGGAGGACACCCCCCCCATCTCAACCAATAAAAGCCAGGTGTGGTGGTGCATGTCTGTCATTCTGGCTACAGCTGAAAGTACAATAGGAGCACAGGGCCCAGGCTGCCCTGGGCAAAAAGTGAGAACCCCATCTCCAAAATATCCAGAGCAAAAAGGGATTGGAGATATGCTCAAGCAGTAGAGTGCCTGCCTAGCAAGTTATGAAGCTCTGAGTTCAAACCCAAGTACTGCCGAAACAAAAAGGAAAAAGTGAGGGGCAATGGATCATTTTAGGGATGGCACACTTTGTGAAGGAAGCTAAAATGGTGGTAAATCACATGGGGAACCAGAAGGGGTCCTCCTCCCCCTGCCCTAGGAGGGGGATGAGTATTTGAGAAGCCCAGAATTGTTAGGAGAGGAAACAGAGCTAGCTAGAATGGCCCCAGGTGGTGTCCCAGAGCCCAGAGAGGTGGTCAGGGACCTCAGGGCATGGGTGCAGGGCTGAGGGCTTGGAAGGACAAGAATGAAACTTCTATCAGGGGTCGGTGGCTCACGCCTGTAATCCTAGCTACTCAGGAGGCAGAGATCAGGAGGATCACAGTTCAAAGCCAACCTGGGCAAATAGTTCACAAGACCTTATCTCAAAGAAAAATTCATCAAAGAAAAGGGCTGGAGGAGTGACTCAAGGTGTAGGTCCTGAGTTCAAACCCCAGTACCACAAAAAAAGAAGAATGAAATTCCATTTCAGTGTTTCCTGTTCTGGGCATGAGGGGGCCTCGGTTGTCCATCCACAGGCCTCACAGAATGCCTGTGTCGGACTGTGGAGAATGAGGGACACAGCAGCGCATCTGCTCAGATGACTAGAGCTCAGCGTGAGGGACAGGGAGCATAAGGTGCTTCCCCACATCACCAGGAACATGTAGAAATGAGGAAGATCTGAGCATCCACCCTGCAGAAGCTGTGTGCTCTCCCAGTGGGTGGGTGGCTATGCATCTCGTGTGACACCCCAGCTCACCCTGGAAGAACATCCTGGTGGCTTCCAAGGACTACAGTGGCCCCGGTCCTTAGTTCTGGGGTAGAGGAGGGACTGAAAAATGTCTGTCTCCAGTTGTCTCTATCCAGGCCCTTGGTTTATTGGGCCAGAATGCTGGGGGCTAGGGATGGTGGTTAGGTTTCATATGGAGACCAGAAAGCAAGCTTGCAAGGCAAGGGCCTCTCACTTGAGTAGGGGTCAGGAGCTGAGGGTCTAGTGGGATCTTAGCCCTGTGCCTGCCAGTACACACTGGCCACTGGGGCCACTGGGGCAGGCAGTGAATGGTTTTTCTGTGGCTGCCAAGGACACCACTTCCTGAAGCTTTGCCTGGAGCCTAGGCCTGAAGTCTGTGAACAGCAGATGCTGAGCAGCCTGGGGTAGCTCCTTGACCTGTGGGGTGGTTGCTTGTGTTTATTATCTCTGGAGCTTCAATGAGCAGCACTTAGAAAAGCTGGTAGGAACTTATGGGCTGCAAGACACTTGGGGTCAAGAGATACCTGTGGAAGCTGGGGACTACAGGATGTTTGGAGTCCCATGAAGATGCCTGCACAGAGGGAATGACATCTACCCTGTCCCAGTCTGCATTCAACCTCAAACTGGCCGCATGGGGTCCCATCTGGTGAGAGTGGCTCCTTCCTGTCACCACCATGAGCCCTCAACAACTCTCACTCCCAGCTGCTCCTCTGTAGCCCCCACAGTCCAGAGAGGCACCTGTGGCTCTGTCAGGGAAAAATGCCACACAGCCAGGAGCCAAGGGAGAAAGGCACAGTTTATTGGTCACACAGACTGATGCCCGTTGGGCATTTGGGGGTGCATACCCATTCTGCTCTCCCACACACTCTGGATTTGATTTCTGACATGAATTCTTTTGTTGTTGTTGTTATTGTTGTTTGTTTTTATTTTTTGAAGCAGGGTCTTGCCTTACGGCCCAGGTGGCTTCAAAATTGTGATCCTCCTACCTCAACCTCCTAAGTGCTGGGATTACAGACAAGCACAGCTCCAGCAAGGTTTTCTGTTATTAATTCTGTTATGTCAAAAAGCAATACAAGAAAAGACATTAGCAGTCTATTCTCCTAGTAATCAAGGATGCAGGACTGAAAGCCAGAGTGGGGAGAAGAGACCAGGCTATTTGAAGAGCCTAGGTCCAGGAGGCCTACCCTGTCCAGCAGCCAGGCTAGAGAGGGCCTCGCCGCCCATCTCTATAGCACACAGGGAGCCTGGCATGTGTACTGAGCACGGACCTCAACATCTCCAGCACAGGTTGAGTCCACATCTTTCAACTAGAGAGCTGGAGCTGATTTTCTGGCTTCTGCCGATTCAAGAACCAAGAGAAGGCAGGCAGATCCCTACTCTCTACGCAGGCTCTGCCAGACCTCCCAACCTTAGCTAAAGCAGCCCACATCACTGAAGCTGGATAGGGCCAGGCTCCTTGTACCTTAAGTTGGCAACTCAGACTCTTCAGCTCCCTAAACAGCTGAGCCTCTGTCTTGCTCCAGGGGCACCAGCCTTCTTAATGCTTTGTCCAAACCCTCCAGGAGCCTCAGCTCAAGGTCATCCTGACATAATGTTCGTAAAGCACTTAGCACGGCCAAGTGGCACATGGCGAGCACTCACCCATGTGGCTGCTATTATTATTAATATTATTATTATTATTTATATCTGCGCCCTCAGATGGGTGCTTCAGTTTCTTTCTTCAACATGGTGACCTGAACTAGTCCCTGGGGTCCCAAGTACTGAGCACAAGCTGGAACCCAGGTGTGTGGTTATTTGTTGCCCACTTGGGTGCGTTTTCCTTCTGACCTCAGCAGCACCTGCTGCCCAGTGTCCCAACCAGCAACACTCCTCCACCCCACAGAAGTGAGGGCCTTCACTGAAAAGTACAAAGCCTTGCACAGGAAGCTAAGTAGGAGGAGCCAGCAAAAGGTCCCGGGAGAGGCTTCGAGTGGCTTCGTGCTGCTCCTCTAGGCTCCCATCACCGGCAGCTCACCAGGGCCTTCACTGCAGGACAAGAACAGAAGGGCGGTCAAGGCCTCACTTGCCCAAGTAACCCCATGACCCTGCGTGCTGTGGGCTAGGCCAGGCTTCTTTTGACATGAAAAAACCCAGCACACACCGTTCTAAGTACATTAAAAATATTCTAATACATATGCATATGAAATTAATGACATATACAAATGCTATGTATAATACAGAAATTATGAGTAATGTGTCATATATAATTACGTAAAAATGATAATATATAGTAGTAATACCTAATAGCAGATGGCATAACTTAACTCTTCCTATAAATCTATAAGGCAGATACAATTAATAGCCCCCTTTTACAGGTAAATAAATTGAGTCTCAAGGAACAGAGCCAGGAAGTGGGAGAGGTAGAATTTAAATCTATCTCAGGGCTAGGAGTGTAGCTCAGTGTAGACAACTTGCCTAGCACTGAAAAAAAAAAAAAAAAAAAGAATAAAAGAATCTAAAAGTCTGGTTTGAGTCTGTTTTCTTTCTGAACCACATCCTCCATCCACACCTTTTTGCTCAAAAAGAAATCTATTTTAGAGAAGGAAGGGGATGTTCTATCTGAAGTCTCCAGGGACACAGGAGACAGACAGACCTAAGTTCAAATCCTGACTCTGGTCCTCATTTCAGGAGTGGCTCCTGTGGACCATGTGTATACCTGCACAGGTGCATGCACGCACACACACACACACACACACACACACAGAGGAACATGTGGCTGAGCACACCTGCATAGCAGTCCTGCCCAGCAGCCCCTCCTCTGGCCGGTGCTTGCTGTGGTGGGGGAGCTCGGTGTTGTCACGATAGTCACGTCCTTTGGAGTGCTGCAGCTGTAGAACCGCTGGGCTCTTGGCAGGCAGAGGTGGTCGTGGTGCTGGGATGGGTATGGTCATCTGCTGGCTCATATCCGACCTGGAAGGCTTGATGGGCCTCTTGGCCGGCACTGGAGCTTGGGAGCTGGCTGGGGCCTTGGGCTTTCCTTGGCTTTTGTCCCCGCTGGTTGCCTTGCCCTCCGCAGAGGACGAGCAGGTGAAGGAGCGGAGCCGGGGTGTGGGGCTGAGGAAGGGCGTGGGGACCTGCTTGCCTGTCCCCTTGCAGCTCTCGGTCTCCTGAGCTTTGGTGAGCAAGATGCAGGGTGATGAGATCCCCGGGTCCGGGCAGGGTGGGGGCTCTTTCCGCAGCATCTTGGGGGACTCCTGCTCTTTCCTGGGAACCAGCTTAGGAAAGGAACTCACGGATCCGTACAGTGGGTTCTCAAACATCTCTGGCTTCATCAGCTGCAGGTCCTCCTGCGGCAGAGCTTCGGCTGTGTTCTTCCCGAGGTCACTGGGCCTGGGCCATAGGGAAGAGAAGGGAGAAGGTCAGGAAAGACAGAACACAGGGAGTGTTTTTATTTTGTGGGGGCTTTTATTCTGGGGTGATAAAAATGTTCTGCAACCAAATAGAGGTGGTCTATGTAATATTATTCATTCTATACTTAGAATGCTACCAAATTGTAGCATTCATTTTACATGAATTTCACCTTGATAAAAAAATGACAAAGTAAAGGAGATGGTGCTGTTATTTCATGTCCTCACTCTGGCCTGGAACCTCTTCCACCACAAGAACTGTTCACACCAAAGCATCTGTGAGCAAGGGGGACTTCACTGGGCATTGTAGAAAGAGAAGGGTGAACATTCACTGTATCCAAATGCCAACCCTTGATCTCTGCAGACAGGACCGCCTTCCCCTCAGTGCTGACAGACCCCTCTCCTCCTGGCTTCCTTGGACCCCCACAGTCTCTTCTTTGCTGTCTCCAGCAATTCTGCTCTGCCCCCTCCCTTGCATGTCTGCTCAGGGGAACAGAAGCCTTCCTGGGGTTCAGTGACTAGGGATTTTCTTCAGTGACTACCATGCTACGCAAGGGAGTCAGATGCTCCATCTAGCAACCCCGCAGATGTGTGAGATGCTGCCTGGCATAGCTGGCATAGCTGAGATGCCAGCATCCTCAGTACAAAGCTGTGCTCAGGTGGCTGACATTGTGATTAACACAGTATTCCTTCCAACAGCATGAAGTCCATATCCTGGAGGGCCCCAGGGAGTGTGGTTTCCTTCATCTCATGGCTCAGAGCAGGAAGGATGACCAGCAGGATGGTCCTGGTAAAACCCAGAGGGTACCTGGACAGGGGTAAGTATTGGGGAAGCCAAGACTAGCAGCAGGATGAAAGGCCCATTTGAATTGTAGCCAGAAATAGATTCCATGTCCTAACCAAAGACAGGTAAAAACTTTTCATTGGCTTGTTATCTGACTTGTCATGGCGCTGGCTTGAGGTGACTTCCTGCTAAGCAATTTATAAAGGAATGAGAACACATTTTTCTTCCTGGCCTTTTCCTAGGCCGATGGCACAATCTCCCAAGACAGTGTTTTGGGTTCTGCTTCCTGCAAAAAGGACACTGCCTGAAAGAAAAGTGGGTCCCTGGAAACCCATTGTGCTATCTGGGCCATGGCACCCATTACAGAGGGGCAGGATGGGAAGCAGTGCTCAGAAGGTGCTCAGCAGTTAGGGCTAATTGCCTCTCGGGCAGCAGTGGGCTTCAGGGATAGGGAGCATGAGCTCCTTGTACGGGTGCCAATGGGATGAGGCACCAGAACTTCACAGGAGGTCTGTGTCAGGAGCATGCCATGGGGGACTTGTGGCCTCTGGTGGTGGTAGGGATGCCCATTAGTTCTGGAAAGACCATTGCATAACTAGAAATGTCAAGGCCTGGACAGAGACTCTGTTTGATAGTCTTTTACCTCTAGCCCCTTCCTACACCTACTTGGACCCTTGGAGACCTTTGCTATGGGCCAGCCTAGGGAATAGGGTGCAGGAGGGGAGGCAAGGCAGTGACCAGTTCTCCTCCTCCTCCTTCTTCTTTAGTAGGACTGGGGTTTGAACTCAGGGCTTTGAGCTTGCAAAGCAGGTGCTCTATCACTTGAGCCACGCCTCCAGTCCATTCTGCTCTGGTTGTTCTGGAGATGAGCTCTCACAAAGTATTTCCCCAGGCTGGCCTCAAACTGCAATCCTCCTGATCTCAGCCTCCCAAGTAGCTAGGATGATACGCATGAGCAACCAGCACCCAGCCAGTGACCAGTTCTTAATGAAGTCAGAGGGAGAGGAGAAGTACAAGCACATGCCCTGGCACCTGACCACCTACTCTCAACAGAGGAAAATGGGAGGAGGGGCTTCCCTCACAGCGGGAGCCAGGACAGGAAGAATACCCTTGACCTAGCACTTCTGTGATTCCAAGTCTCCTGTGCTGGGAAGGGGGCAGGGAGATGGAGACCCCAAGTCTTTTCTCTGGGAAGGTGCTTCTGTACCCTTAGGGGAAGGTGGAAAAACCATGTCAAATTAAAAAATTAGTTTTATTCCCCTGGCCAAGGTAACAAGAACTCAAGCCCCATGTTAGGCCACAGTTGTTGGGCAAGTGACTAATATTCAGAAGACAAAGTTAATTCCCATGCAAATGAGTCTGTTCTTCTGAGGAAGCTGGCCACAGTCGGGAGCACAGTTCTCTTTCCTTACAATCACTTGACCTTGGCCTTGGATGACAACTGTCCTGTTCACCAGGAGTGAAGACTTTCTCAGGAGGTGGGACTATTAGTGCTGAAAAACTGGACAGTCCTGGGTAAACTCCACTTGGGCCTGGGACAGCAGTGGGAATACTGGGAGGTACTGGGGATGCCCCACCATCTTAACTCAGACTGAGCCAGGGACCCAGAAAAGTGGAAGGGCTGCAGTGGGAGTAGGGGCTTCTGGGTTCTTGCTTTTCATCATCTTCTTGGTGAAAATTGAGCTTAGAACCCTGCACTGGGAGCCTGCTTGTCCTCTGCCATCACTATGGGGCAGGCGGGAACACACTCCCTACCAAGCTGTGTTCACATTGTTAACACGAAAGTATATTTACTTAATTAATCTCCTTGTTCTTTGTAGCTGCTTCTAGCTTCATTTCTTGGATCACCAAAAAGATGGCCCTTGCCAAACAAGAACACTGATACCTCCTGGACGGTGGCTTTTGTCCTCATGCCCAGAGGAGAAAATTGAGGCTGTTTCTCCCTTCCTCCAAGTTTCTTAGACAATGACCAGTGTGTAAAATATTATCAACAAATTCTGAGAGCAAGAGGGCTCAGGGACAATCCTTTGTGGCCTGCCCTGTCCTCTCTTCCTTTCTTTTAGTTGGGGGAAAAGCTTAAGAAATAAAATTCTCACTGCTCCTCTGCCAGAAGAAGCCAGATCTGATGGAGGCATTGGGGAGACCTGTGTTATAGGCAATGCCTCAACAATGACTCCTGACCACTGTGTTCCAGTCAGCACCACCAGGAACCAAAGTCCCATGGAGGAAAGAAGGGAAAAATGATAGGGAAAGATAGGCTGAGAGTGAAGGCCTGAATCGTTATAAAGCAGGACAGACAGACCCAGAGGATAGACAATGCTTATGCTGTTTTGCCCATCTCAAGTCACGTGAACTGGGTCTGTGCTTCTCAGGTCCATCTGTCATCCTGTAGGGACCAGAAATGTGCAGGTTCCCCGTCCTGTGTTTCCCTGAGCTGCTCAGGGGTTACCTCGCTTTGTTTCTAGGAAGCAATGACTTCCTCTGAATCCTTGTTGGGCCACCTCCCTGCCCTCCCTTCCAGCTCCTGTCCTTTTGCTTGGACTAGTTCTGGCCCCAGAGCAGCTTGCTCTAAGCCCATTGGACTGGTCCCTTTCCCTCTGCAGGCTGGCACCTCTGCCTCCCTTTTGAATTCTTAATATCAGTTTGTTCTTTTGCTAATTGTGGCCAACAGAAGAGACCAGAGAGCTGCCTGCAGGCAGAGAGAGGGGAACTTGGGGTTGGGAGAGACTTCGATCTAGAAATCCCTACCCTTGTTTCACAGTACCCCTGAGGGAGTGATAAGTGCCTGAGGAGTTTTTATAAAACTGCTTTTCTTGGTAGTATCTTTATATAAAAATTGCTTACCTCTTTAAAATCTTTTAAATCAAGTCACAAACAAATCAGTTAGGATGTGAGAGTTTCCACCAAAAGATCCTAAGTGCAGGTAGTGGGCAAAGCAGACCCCAACCCTGCCCTCTCAAGTTTGCTGGGGTGGGGGGGAGGGGAAGCACCGAAGGATGCCTGTGAGCAAGGAAGAACTTAATGAACGATGAGGACACTCACCTTGACTCCTGTGCCCTAGGGCAGGGCCCCCGATTTGCTGTTGAGGATGAAAACTTCTTCGGTGATAGGGGCGGCTGGGAGGGAGGGGTCGGAGGACTGTCTCCTCTCCCAGACCCCAAAGAGGAGTCCTTGAGTGGCTGGTCATAGCTCCAGGCTGTGAGCTGCTGGTCCGGGGACAGGTTCTGCTTCCCATGCAGGGGCTGCCCCAAGTGCCCCATTCCTATGTAGCTGGGGTTGATGATCTCAGTGACACCAGAGGCACCACATGGAGGAGCCCTGCAGGAAGAGACAGAGGCATCCCTCAGGGAGGTCGGCACCAGCCTGAGGACAGTGTCCTCTGATGCCCTCAGGTCCCTCAGTCCCTTCACTTCTGGAATAGTGGATGCATGCATGCAGTGTAATAGTTACTGAGCACCTGATTAAGCTCCAGTCCTGGGCCAGGAGGAGGGAATATGGTCATAGACAAGACGGCCAAGGTCTCTGTCTCATGGAACTCACACTGGGTGGAAGAGACACACAACAAACAAGCTTGGTGGCAGAGATGTGGCATTGCTACTGCACTAGAGGTGAGTTGAGACAAGCAGGAGGGTTGGGACTCACTGGTTGGGTAGCTGAGGAAGGCCACTTGAGGAAATGGTCTTTGAGCTGAGATAAGAAGAAACGCAGATAAGAGAGAAGGAACGGACACTCTGGGCAGGGGCGAGGGTTAGTGTACAAGTCCCGAGGCCTGTTCAAGCTCTTCTGTAGGCCAGTTAGCAAGTGGGGAGAGTGAAACAAAAAGCTGGCAGGCCCAGAGCCTGTCGGGGGTGGGGGGCATTTTCAGGGCAGACTCTGGTGGGGACTCCATCTGGGGCATGTCAGCTTGCAAGTTCTGTATAAGGCATCAGAATGGAGAGATGAGTGTGAAGTCACAGAGGTCAAGGCTAGAGCTGGTAACAGGGATAAGCAGCTTAATACAAAGGAAGGGATGGTCCAGATCTGGGTAAGGCAACCCTAACAGTGACACAAACTGCACACCACCCCTGTGTCAGGCACGACTTCATGAGGACTAGTGAACAGAGCTCTGAGGGCAGAGGTATAAGGATCCCTCTGCAGCCTCTATCTCTCCAGGTAGCCAGGTCACCAGGCTTATCAACACCTGCTTAAGAGATAAATGCTACTTCTAGTGCTAATCAGTCCGGGAAAGAATTCGTTTACCCACACAGAGTCTGACTGGGGGCCAGGCAGACACTGTTGAGCCAGGCTGTATTCCCTAATGGGATACAGGAAGAAGACTGAAGCAGCTGAAAGTGGACCAAGGGATGGGCTAGAGATGGGAGTCACTGTATCCAACAGAGGTGAGGAATGGAGGGACAGGTAGGGTGGGGACCAAAGGAGGAGAGGAACAGGCTATGTCTGATCCTAGCATTACTTTGCTCCTTTAGTAGTTGAGTTGGCAAAGAGATGGGGACTCTTTTTTTTTTTTTGGAGGGTGGGGAGGACAAGACAGATTTGAACTCAAGGCTTTGTGCTACTGCTTGAGCTACACCTCCAGTCCATTTTGCTGTGGTTATTTTGGAGATAGGGGACCTCTTGAACTACTTGCCCAGGCTGGATCTTCCCAATTCCAGTCTCCCAAATAGCTAGCATTACAGGTCAGCAGTGCCCAGCTGAAATCAGAACTCTTGTTGGCTTGATTCTGCACCTCAACACCACATCAGAGGCCCTGGTATTACTGCTGTTCTCTAGAAATACAGATTTTAACTGGATTATTCCCAGTTCAATCTTTGTCAAAAACAAACTGGGTACATTGTTCCTCAGTGGTTTTTCCTGTTAGTGCAGGATAGAGACCCTATGACTGCTGATGTCCCTGGTCTCATAGGAGATAGGACCAGCATTTGTTACCCTGGAATCACTCAGTGATCCAAGTCGCTTCTTCCTGGACCACACATCCTTCTAAGTGGGTGGTGAGTTCCTAGGTTGGGGACTGTACTTAATTTAACTTGCATTGGTTTCTCTAGAATCTGACAAGTATAGGTGTTTAATGAATGCTGGTTAGCTGAACTGAACTTTCCAGCCCAGAAGCCTAGGCTTCATCACAGTCACACCAGCCTCCCTAGGGACATGGGTGTAGGCTCAGAAGACATGGAGCTGAAGACAGAGGAGCCTGTCTCTCCTTTGACCTTGGCTTCTCTGTGTTCCACTTTATCTTCTCCTGGGTCCTGGTCCACATGGCCATGCTAACTGGTTATGAGTCCCCAGCACCCCCTTGCTCTACCTGACAGCAGGCTCCCACTGCTTCATGGGATCATGGCTGGTGAGGTTCTTTAGGCACTTGGTCCCACTCAACTCATCCCGCTCCGTCTTCACAAAGTCTGGAAGAAAAGGGCCAGGAAAGGGTCTGTGAGGGTCCAGTGCCCAGAATTTGGGCCAAGATGGCAAAGTGATGTCCATTTTAGGTCGAAGCTGGACAGTACATAGTGGCTACCCTGGGGAGGTATTTTAAGCAGGCCTCTGAAGCTTCAGAATCCTCAGGTCCAGTGATGGATTAGTTACGCTCGCCTTGGCTTCAGAAGGAAGAGAATGGACATTTGTCACCCACAGTTGTTATTCATGTGGTATTTCCCACTTAGTCTCAGCAGGGGACAAAACAGGCAAACATTACATGCCAGATTAGAACAAAACAAACATAACCGGATGTTTCCACGAGAGCACTTGGTATTCAAAGTCACCCTGTTCATGGGATTTAAAGGGGAGCTGGGACCCCTGTCTTTATTTTGGATTCTGGTTTGCGGTTGCTGAGGTGCCAAGTCCCTATCACTCCAATCTACTGTCTAGATAAGGAAAGGAGCTCCTAGAGGGCACAGGAAGAGCCATTCTCCCCTCCCACCACCCACCCCACACAAGGCAGTACCTCTGATGGACCAGGGCCTTCCCTGGTGCAGGAGCCACCCCTTCCTTATGTAGTGAATTCTGCTTACTATTTTCATAAGAGGCAGGAAACCATCATACAGACAAATCACCGCTTAGCACGGATGGACTTGCACGTTCACCTTGGCCTAACCATGTACTAGATAGGTGTCTTGTCATGTACCAGGCTCGAGGAATGTTTGTACATATGCAAGGGCACCAAACAGCCACGTGGAAGAGGAGCAGTAATGTTCCTTAGTCTTTCTCCCTTGGGAGCCTGGGAGAGCTTTTTAGTATCAGATAGGTATGCATTGTAGTCTTGGTCCTTCTTGGACTGGAGATGCTAGCAGGAAATGACAAAGCTAAAGACTGAGAAGAGGCGAGAGCAGGGGCTCTGGAGACTTCACAAGCTCCATGTCCTAACAGATTTCAGCTGACTGGGGTCTGGGCCGAGCATTGGGGTTCTACAGAAATTCTTGAATCAGGTGAGGGTGGAATGGCTGAGCTTTTCCTTCCCTTTCCTTCCATTTACTCTTCCCCTCTCCTCTCTCTCCCTCCTTCTTTCTTTCTCTCTCTCTCTCTTTGGCTGCACTGGGGTTTGAACTCAGGGCCTCACGCTCTTACCACTTGAGCCATTCCGCCAGCCCTCTCTCTCCCTCTCTCTCTTTTTTCCCCTTGCTTTTTTGTTTCACAGATGGTCTCACTACCATAGCCATAGCCCTCAAACTCAAGATCCTCCTGCTTCAGCCTCCTGAGTGCTGGGATCACAGGCATGCACCACCACGCCCAGCTTGGAAGGCTCCATTCTAACTGGGTTCTGTTCTGATGCCATTGAGTTTTGCTGACAGAAACCATATGCTTGTCCACAATGCAGCATCTGTAATGCCATCTGGGGGCTGGTTTACCGGGAGGAGGCCTGCTTACCATAGAGCTTCTCCCTCTTCTTGCCCTGGGAGGTCTGCAGCTTAATCTCTCCCCGGAAGTGGCCTGTCATCTCTCCATGGTGGGTGAGAGGAGTATGGATGGGCAGCTGGGTTTCCGTAGCCTCCAACCGAAGGGCAATGCAGCCCTCACCTGGGGAAGGGAGAAGACAGTCCCATCAAGACCTGGCCATTTCATGAGCTCAGAGACTCTGAGCATCATCCTGGAGGTTCAGCTCTACCACCAGAAGACAGTCCTTTGAAACAGTCGGCCAGGCAGGTGTCAGTTGCTAAGCCCATTTAGATTCACGCCTCAGCAATTGGGGCAAATCATCAAACCTCACCATAGAATAAATTCCTGGTGAATTAGTCAATGTGAAAAGAAAAAAAATAAATCCTAGAAAATCCATCAGAAAACCAGAATTAAATGCTAATCTGATTGCTATAGGAGATAGTAACTTCTCACAGCTTGAAACAGTGTAAGAAATGACAAAAGATGGGCAGGCAAGAGGATAAAACTTCTGCACAAAGAGAAAAACTAAAATAAAAGGAAAGTGACTGGAAAGCTGACAGGCCAGCAGGGAGAGGCCTAAAAGTTTATGATGTGGGCAGAGGAGCTGGCTGGACATGGGAGAGGCCCATCAGCACAGGCAGACCCAGGTTCAAATTAGGGCCCAGCCAATAACTATCTGTATGACCTGGGCAAGTCACTCCACCTCTCTGGGCCTTAGTTTACTCTCCTGTTCACTGGGGAGCAGCACCTGCTTCTTAAGGTCTAGTCAGGATTAAATCAAATAGTACCTGCAATGTGCCTGGTATGGGTGTGACACACAGGAAAGATTCACTCAGTGGGGAGGGAGCAAGGTTGCTGGGTGTTATACCCAGAAGTCCCACGGGGCAGAAAGGATGACCTACACAGTAAAGGTCCCTATGGAGCCCTCAGATGGGGAAAGGAGCAGCAGGAGAACAGGATGTGGAGCAGCAGGTGGGTCTTCCCAGAGATGCCCCTGCCTCTGTCACTTCAGAGGGTGTGGGCTAACAGACAGACATGGCGCCTGTCCTGGGATGCTTACCGTAGGATTCGTCACTGTCAGAGGATTTAATGCTGATCAGGATGTGCTGGTCCAGCAGGTACTCGGGGTCGGAGATAATGGGCTTCAGCTACAGAGAAGAGGCATGGGATTAGACTGGTGGGGAAAAGTGAGGGAACAGGAGGGTGGCCAGTGGATAAATGGCCAGAGACCAGTCTCATTGTGTGGGAAAATAGGATTGAAGCTGTCCCAATTAACCAGACTCAAGTCTCAGCTCTCCAGACCCAAAAGAGCCGGTAGAAACACATTCATACACCCTGCCCAGCCAGGACGAGTTAACTTTCTTCCTATCCCCCTACTACCTGCACCCCAGAGGGAGAGCTTGGTCCCAAATGGCCTCATGTCCATTGCCTCCCTCCCTCCCTTGCATATTCCAGGGATTTGGGGGAGGGGACAGGAGCCAGGTCTAGAATGACCCTGTGCCCCACTCAGGCTTCTCTTGCCCCTCAGCAGGGAACCGTCTGCCTCCCACCTGGGAAGGACATGTCCCCGTGCAGCAGAGATCTCCAACTGAATCTAAGTGTCCTGCAGGTGGAGACTCCCCCATTCCAGCCCTGTCCCCAGCTTCCTGCTGCCAGCTATTGCTCAGAGCCAGGACTCTGGGCTCCCAGAGGCCCTGCTGGTCTGTCTTGGGGAGGGGGAGCTGATGCTGGACTTGGCACCCTGCCGGGGAACCCTCAAGCCTCACCAGCGTAGGGCCTCGGTGCAGCGCAAGGAAATGCTCTATGCACATGCTAGCTCCCACGCATTGGGGGTGCAACTTGTGGTTTTTCTACAACATATGGCTTCTGCACTGCTTCAGGCTCCTCCTCACGTTCATTCCAGTAAAGAAGGGTCTCGTAAAAGGTCACATCCTGCTCCAGGCTGTTCCTTTGATTCCCTTTCAGACATGGAAAGGGCCCTGGTGCAGGGCTCTGGGCACCATGTTGAATATTAGAATGGACTCATTACTTCTCTATTCAGAAAGTTCCAGAAGGAACTGGAAATGGCAGTGGGGCTCTGAAGCAATCTGGGGTTTGAGGGTCAACCATTCACTCACTGACAGGTAGTGAGGTTAACTCTGAGTTATACCTGGGGCCAGGTAGGGGCTGCAGTGGGTCGATTTCTGAAGGACAGAATGTCTCTGAAGGACACAGCCACTACAGAGGGCGAGAGGACTAGGACCACTGGTGCCACAGAAGGAATTCAGAAGGAGAAGGGAGGTTGTGGCAGAGGTGGGGTGGAGGAAGCAATGTGGGGTAAAGGCCTCTGAGGTGCTACAGGAACAGCAGATGAAGGTGGGGAGGACTCGCCCCACTGGGCACCAGGGAGCCAACCTGATGAAGATGGACATTCCAGAAAGATCCATCAGTAGGAGACAGGAGGGGTAGAGACTGCTGCATGGTGGGAGTGGGGTGGAGGGGAGGGAATAGAGGCAAGAGAAGCAGCAAGTATTGGCAAAGGATAGGCATGGGGAGTGGAGAGAGACGGTACCCTCGGAGACCCTGATCTGGACCAGGATTGGACATGCCATGGGAACTAGAATGCTGGCATCTCTCTGAACCTCATCAAAGAGGGAAACAATTCAGGCCCCAGGCAGTAGCAGTTGTGAGAGGAAGAACAGGAGGACAGGTCCAGCTGGGTGGGACGCAAACATCTTCTTGGAGCCCAAAGCCCTGAGGACTCAGGGGCCTGACACATTCCCAAGACAGGAGACTTCAGACAGCTGCTGGGGACTCAAGTAATTGGAAGTGCAAAAGAATGTGAAGCACATGCCCTGCGTCTGCTCTTAAGATGACACGGTCTCCTAGTGTGACCAAAAGCCGGTTCTAGTCACTGCTCAATGCTCTCCTGGGAAGCCCAGTCCCTCCAAACCTGCCTATGACCTTCTCTGGCCTTAGGAGAGGCTTGGTCCCACCACCTGCTTGAGATCCAACTTTATTTATTACCTAACTAATTAATTTTTTTTTTTTTTTTTTTGGTGGTACTGGGGTTTGAACTCAGGGCCTCACACTTGCTAGACAGGCACTCCACCACTTGAGCCACTGCACCAGCCCTTTTTTTGCATTGAGTATTTTTGAGATAGAGTCTCATGAACTATTTGCTCTGGCTGGAGTCAAAGTGTAATCCTCCTGATCTCTGCTTCCCAAGTAGCTAGGATTACAGATGTGAGCCACTAGTGCCTGGCTTATTATTATTATTATTTATTATATTTGAATTTTGAGAAAAGGTCTCAATATGCAGTCCAGGTTAGCCTTGAACTTGTGATCCTACTGCCACAGCCTCACAGGCAAGTGAGTGTCTCTCCATCCAGATTTGAGGTCATCCTTTAAGACTCACTTTGGGTGTGACCTATGAGCAAACCTTCCAGGAAAGCCTCTGAGATTCCACTCCTATGATGGTTCTACTCCCCTTCTTTGTACTGTGGTGTGAGAGAAACAGGGTTGTGCCCCACTGTGTATCCAAGCATGCATGTCCTGAGTGTCCAATACGCTCTCTTCAAATATAGCAAACAGCTCCACTGTCAATTTAGCATCACAAAAGCATCTTTGGCCGAGAACAACTTTTCCACAAAAATACAAATGTTTTCCCCTCACATAGGCCTGTGTGTTTGCAATGCCACCCTGTGCTCAAGTGGGCCACAGACAGGCCAAGTTCTTCCTGCGTTCACAGAGTGTCATCGGGAGCCACACACTCCTCTCTATGCCTTCACTTGATCCTACCATCCAGAGTGGAACAGGTGATTGGTTGAGCACCGAAAGGAAATGGGCCATATTCGGGGTTGGGACCTGGCTTTGCCACAATAGCCATGTGTCTGTGAATGAGCCTCTCACTCTGCACCTCAGTTTCCTTCTTTGCAAAATCATGTGGCTATATGAGCTGACTGCTAGATCCCTTCCAGGATCCATGAGGGGAACTGAAGGCCATTTATGACTACTGGGGTCACTTATACCCCTGCTCAAAAGTGTGTCATAAACCTCTTTGAAAACTTGCTCTAGGCTGGCCTCTTCTGCATTTGGTCTGTGGTATGGTTGGCTCCCTTTTGTCAGACCCAGCACTGCCCCTGGCCAGTACTGCTGGCCCAGTGACTGGTGAATTACCTTGGGAAGGGTCTCACCAAACCTCACCACCAGCTCCCCTTCGCTTCCCTCTTCATTTTCTCCTTCCTGACTCTTGACAAAACCTGTTGGAAGACAAGAAGCCTGGTTTGCAGAAGACAAAGCAAGAACCTGACAGAAAAGACTCCTGCGGTCCCCCTCCCTGGACCAAGGAAGATGGTCTCTCCTCTTAAGTCTTTGGGGGCATCAGCACTATTTGGGAGGCAGGCTCATTGGGGATTCTGTTTTTGTGCAGGAGATGGTCATTTGCCAACATAGTCTAATTGTTTTTAGGAAAATCAAAGAGATTCCCCCTCCTTCTTGGCTCCTCTTTGCAACAAGCCAAGCGACAAAGACATCTTCACATCTCAGGCAAGAAGACTGGGAAACATGACAGCTCATCCCACGCCACTCAAGATAGCAGCCTTTTGAAATTCTAATTTAAGCTTCCTAACATGCTGTTTCCATAGAAATGTATGCAAATGTCTTGATAGTTTATTAAAAACACCCGCACAAAAATCCTTATCCTTTTTTGGAACTGCTTTGACCCTGCTTGCTGAACTGCAGCTTAGGGACTTAGTGGCAAAGGCTGCTCTATCCCCAGCACCCGGTCTGGCTGAGTCAGAGGAGGAAGGGGTGAGGAGGCAGAATTGGAGCTGGTGGCACTCCTGATTTCTGGAAGTCTCACACTCATGCCTTCCCTTCTCCTCTCCCCACCAAGACCATCCTGGTGAGAACTGGGAAGCATGCAGATATCTTGCACGGAAGAGACTTAGACACCATGCCTAGAAATGTCACCCAGAAAGGGTGTTTTCTAAACACAGTGTATGGTAAATGCTGCTGGATAAGAGAAGTATGTCTATCTCCAGCTTACTTCTGGACACTGTTGGGTCACCCAAGGATAGTGCTGTGATGTTGAAAGACCAAGAGGAGCCAGGGCAATGGCAGCACAGGCCCCACGTTGGCCTCTGTGAGCTCTACCAGGATTCAGGGCCCCACTTGGGGGAAACTCAAGCGTATTTCAGTCTGCTCTCAGGGAGCAGGGAGAAGAGCCAGCTGCCCACAGGGGCTGAGGGATCAGTACGTCAGTGGCCCTGTCCCCAGGCCCAGCAGCAGCAGCACAGGCCACAGGGAGGGCTCCTCACAGTCTCTGGGTGTCATCTGGGGCTGTCCCCTCTGATCCCACTTAGGCCCATCTTTGAGTCCTTGCCAGAGAGCAGAAATGGGGCAAGACACCATTTCCAAAATGGAATTTAGGAGAAAGAGTCGTGGCCTGCCCCACTCGAAAGGCAGTTCAAGGGCCACTTACTCTCTAAGCAGCTTGAGTGGAACTCCAGGTAGAACTTGGTCTGAGACTTGGTTTTCAGTGTGGCGTAGCATTCGAGGAACTCGATCTGCCCTTGGCTGTCAACAGTGCCAGGCCCTGGAACACAGAAGAATAGACATTCAGCTGCATAGCATCCTAGAGATATAATATTTTCTACTAGCTTCTCTTTAGTGTTTCTCTCCTCTGGGTGCTCATTTCCCATGCTGAGCCCCTCTTAGGGGCTGTGGAAGGGGAGAGTGCAGGTGGAAGAAGCTTTCCTTGAAGAAAAGCTACATGATCCACCATCTACCCTAAGCACCTTTGATCAGCTCCAGGCTGGCCATGTGGGAACAGAGCAGAAAGAATAAAGAGTTCAAGGAGCCAAGTTCAAGCTTTGCCACTGAAGCTGCATGGCCTCGGGCAACCCCCGTGACTTTGCTGCATGATCTCACTAGTTCCAACAGAGAGTTGGTACAATGGCTCAGATGTTCACTTTCTGAGTGCAGAGAGTGAAGAGGCCCAATCTTTCTTCCCGAGGCACAGTTATATCCAGTCTTCACTCTGGGCTCTGCAAACTCATTGCCTCTCAGTTAACTTGCTCGTAACTGGGTTAATTTAGGTGATGCACAGCATCCACGCCAGGCTCTGCTGATGTAGACCTGTTTACTCAAAGCTCAGTGCAGGTGACTGGTGTTTTTGAACATTGACTATGTACTGAGTCCCAGTGAAAGGAAACCAAGCCTGATGGTAAGGACACTCTACCCAATGACAGAGGGGGCAAATGACAGGGCACCCCATCAAGGCCGTAGAAAGCAGAGAAAAGGAAGCTGGGTAGGAGTGGGGAAGGGGTGAAACCTAAAGGCTAGAAAGGTTCTGGAAAGGCACAGTGGCCAGAGCTAGGAGACAGGACAGGGGGAAGACCAGGTGGTGGCATATGTCTGTGACCCCAGCACTTGAAAGTGCAAGACTAGCATGGGCTATACAGTGAGACCATCTCAAAAAAACACCACCACCTACCACCAACAAAAAACACCAAAAATCAATAAACACTTGAGTGGGGGCTGGTGGAATAGCTCAAGTGGTAGAGCACTCGCCTAGCAAGTGTGAGGTCCTGAGTTCAAACCCCAGTACTGTCAAAAAAAAAAAAAAAAGGTGGAAAGGAGATGTCCAGGTTGTTGGGCCCACAGATGTTAAACCCAACAGTATGGAAACAGCATCCCAGAAGGACAGCCTTCCAGCCTTACCTACCCCCTCACAACACAGAGGGCACAGAGAGGGTCAGTCTTTCCCTGCCTGGGTTCTCTACACCTAGCCTTCCTAAATGAGCCTGGACAAAAGTAGGGAGTGGGCAGAGGCAGTGACAACATGGCTCCCTGGATGGACAGGTTTCAGGGACCTCCCTGTCCCTGCTGGGAGATGAGGGTGGCCTGGCAACCAGGATTGGTCTGGGCAATTTGAAATTACCTGCCACTCTAAGTATCATTTACTCCAGTGTTTACCAATACTTAGTCATCCACATAACACCTCCACAATTTTCACCATCTACACCTACCACGCATCCACGCTAACATTTACTTAATATTGTCTTTAATTAGACTATTTTTAAACTTAAATGTAATTAAATAAAGTATATGACAATACTAAATGAAAACCTGCTTACCCAGAAAAGACACATTTAAAACATTTTAGAGTAAAAATATCACTTACCAGTGTTTATGCATGTCCCCCCACCCCAGAATTGTCTTTGGCAGAAGACTGGCCACACTTGGGTAAACACTGAGATTTTCAGACTGCACCAAATTGAGTTTCAAAAGGCTGACATGTTTGCCAAATAGAGTAAGTAATTTCTCTGGACTGAAATCTTGATGTGACCTGGACACGAAGAGTTACTGATGCACGTGGACCTGCCTGGAAGGACAAGCCTTTATCCAACATAAAAACTGATGCTGCAACCAGAAGATAAGTGCCCAAAGCTCCTTGTCTTTGAGAAAAACAGAGAAATAGACACTGACCACTGCTTACCATTCTTGGAGACAAACTGGGAGGTGACCCCTGCCTCAAATGTAGCAAAGACAGGACTGTGGTCACTTGTCATGATGTCGCTGGTACTACCTGCAAGGGAAGGAAGGCATTTGTAAGTGAGGACAGAGAAGCCCTTCTGGTGAAGCCATGGATGGCAAACCCAGGGCAAAGGGTTAGGCTGAGACCTGCACCTAGAAACCCTAAGACCAGCAAGCCAAGAAGCCTGTACTAGCCTGCTGGGACAGGAGTTACCACCATTGCCCCTGCCAACAGCCAGCCAATCCTAGATCTGTGTGGTTCCCACCTCGGTATGTCCTGTGAGTGTTTAAGGTCTTGCTCTGCAAGTCTTGCGCATGAACACTAAAACATTTCAAAAATAAGCATGCAGGCCATTAAGAAAATCAGCACCCCTTAAACTTCAAGGGTCAATGATTGCTTGTTTTGATAACTTATTCCTTAATTATTTACTTCAATATTGGATGCTATGCCTTCATCAATTTATCTCAGTTTATCACTAGACCCAGGACACGTGTGTACTCTTGTGATAGGTATTACGCTGAACTATGTGAGTTTCCAATAGTTGATCATTTCACCCAGCCTGATGGCTCACGCCTGTAATCCTAGCTACTTAGGAGACAGAGATCAGGAGGATAAAGGTTCGAAGTCAGCCTGGGCAAACAGTTTGTAAGACCCTATCTCGAAAAAACCCATCATAAAAAAGGGCTGGTGGAGTGGCTCAAGGTGTAGGACCTAGGTTTAAAAAAAAAAAGTTGGATTGTTCCTGACTTATGAAAGCACCACTTTCATATGACTCAAATCTAATATGGTTCTAAAACTGGATTTCTTTTCAAAAGTGCTCCGTGTTTCAAATGTCTCCCAAAGCAGGGCTCTTTATAACACTGTAGCCCAAGATGAATGGGGACGCAGAAACTCTCAGGTCCCCTAATTAGAGGTGCAGGGAGTTCCCCACCTTACAGATGAGCAGATGGAAGCCCTCCCACCTTAGACTGTTCTGGAACTCAGTGGCTTCCCTCAGCATTGGCTTCCTGCAGCGTTTACTCACCGTACGACTGACACACTACGTGTACCAGTGGATAAGATTTCCAGAGGACTCGGTCGCACCAGGAGGGCAGGTTGTACTTCATCTGCAAATCAAAGTCACAGCTTCATAAAGTAGCTGCTACTTTTTAAAAATCACTAATAATTAATTATTTAACTGGTGGCATCTGTAATCCTTGAATTTACCCACGCTGGGTCTTTTAGGAATTTCCCCATAAGTAGCTTTATTTATTTTAAATTTTTTTGGTGTTACTGGGATTTGAACTCAGGGCTTCATGCTCGAAAAGAAGGCATCCTCAGCTTGAGTCACACCTCCAGTTTTGCTGGTTATTTTGGAACTATTTGTCCAGGTTGACCTGGAACTACAATCCTCCCAATCTCAACCACCCAAGTAGCTAGGATGATAGGCATGAGCCACCGGCTATACTCCTGAAGGTGGTATACTACCCGTAAGTGTACAGCTGGATGAATTCTTACATTTGTGTACACCCAATAAACCATGCCCAGATCTGGATCTGGAAGATTCCCACCACCCCAGAAGGATCCCACATGCCCTTCCTTGTCAGCACCGTCTCCTAGAGGGGCTTGTGACCAACACTGGCACTGATTAATCCTCCCTGCCCTTGAACTTACATAACCAGGACTCATTCAGTCCACATTCTTTATGCCTGGCTCTTTCATCCATATGGCTGCTTGTCAAAGTTCCCCACAACTTGAGCCACTCCACCAACCCTTTTTTGTGAAGGGATTTTTTGAGATAGGGTCTGAAGGAACTATTTGTCTGGGCTGTCTTTGAACCACGATCCTTTTGATCTCTGCCTCCTGAGTTGGTAGGATTGCAGGCGTGAGCCACCAGTGCCTGGAAAGAGTTCCCTTCTTTTATTGCTGAAGTGGTATTCCACTGTGAGTATCCACCACGTTTTTATCTATTTTTTTCCTACTGGTAACGGACATAGGAGTGTTTGTTTGACATTTGGAAGATTATAAACAGTGCTGCTGTAAGCATTCTCATAGCATCTTTGGTGAGCAAATGTACCAATTTCCTTTTAATATTTGCCAGTGTGGAATTACGGAGTCACAGAACAGGTGCATTGTTTACTTTTTCACAGATGTTACTAACCACTTACTTCTTGACACCGCAGCTCTCCTGTGGACCTCCACAAATACAAAAAATCAGGGCCCCCTCAGACCTATTGTGCCAGGTGGCTGTTTCCCTTGTGAAGAACTCTAAACTGTGCTACTTCGGGGTAAGATATTTTCTACCCTGTCAGTTTTACTTCAAGTTAAAAAAAAAGTACTTAGGTGATCCAGAAGTAGAGGTAGCAAAAAGAACCTTCTTGAAAAAAAAAAATTAGTTAAAGAAAAAGCGATTGAGGGAGATGGGATGAAAAGAATAGGCTTTTTAAGGATGGATGCCTTTATGTTTATAGGCAGAAAGAAAGAGCTAGAAACTGAGCAGTAAGGATGTTGACTAAGGGACTCTCTGCAAAGAACAGCCCTAGAGTTGCTGGACCCACAAATCTTGCCTTGACATGTCTCTGTCAGTATCAGTCTCAGATTTTCAACTGACTTCTGGCTACTTTCTTTGAGACTCTCCACAAAACCACTGAGTCTGAAAACAAGCTCTGCCTTCAGATTTTCCAGTTTTCATTTGTGACAAGCAGCTCTCTCCACACTCCCTGCCTTCCTCCTTGCCTTTCATTTTTAGTTTAGCTCCTGACTCGGGCCCTACTTAATCTCAGTTGACCATGGCCTCCTCATTGGTCCCCTCCATCATTCTCATCCTTTGCACTGATGTTGACCGCCAGTTCCTCAGGGGAACACTCTGTGGCTCCCTGTCACTTATCATCACCGGGAAGTCCGGCACAGCCACTGTCCTGTTCGAGGCCCAGTCTGTTTTAGTTTACACCAGACCATCGCTCCCCAGCTCACAACACACCCCATCTACCTACAGTCAGTGGACACCTCAGAGGACAGCACCTTGGTCTGAGCATCTCCACCTGACTAGTGGCACCAGTCCTGCCTCTTGTTCTCTCCTATTTCCCTCTATTTCTTTCTTTTTTTTGGTGGGACCAGGTTTTGAACTCAGAGCTTCATGCTCCAAAGCAGGTCCTCTACAGCTTGAGACATACCTCCAGTCCATTTGGGTCTGGTTCTTTTAGAGATGGAGTCTTGAGCACTATTTGCCTAGGCTAGCCTTGAACCTTGATCCTCCCAATCTCAGCCTCCCAAGTAGCTAGGATGACAGGCATGACCCACTGCACCTGGCTCCCCTATTTCTTTCCCGCTGTTCTGGAATCCAGCCAATGCTCAGCCTTTTTCTCCCACTACTTGTGCTACTCCTGGCCCGGGTAGCACCCAGAACTCTTTCAGACAATACTTTGAACTTCCTTTCTATCTCCCTATCTTCAAACAGCCCTGGGTGTCTGCAACCTGGGACCCTGCCCTGGGGCTGGCTTCCTCAGAAGGTGATAGCAGAGCTTCCTGCTCAGCTTCAGCTCCCACAGTTCCTTCACCCTAACATGTGTGGTCCCTCCCTGTAGTGGCTGCCTGTTGAAACTCACTCTGCCCTTCATGGCACGAAGAAGCCTCCCCCAACATTCCCCACCCCAGTGATTATCTCCCCCTCTGACTTTTCCTTGTTGCACCTGGTGTCATCATATCTGCCTCAGTTGACTTGTCTTTTCTTTCCTACTATAAACTCTTTGGGGTCAGCATCACATTCAGCTCTGACCTCTCATCACCAGGAAAGCACCTTGATAAGATTTCTGAACAGATACATGTCTTAGTGCATCTTTCCTCTTTCCCCAAGTGCTGCTCCTTGGAACACAAGTGGCTTTGTTAACATATTAATTGGTGCGGGAGGAGGAGAGGGAGAACAATGGAGGGGTAAATCTAATCAAGGTACATTGTACATTGTGACATTGGATACATCACAGCGAAAACTCCCTGTACAACCAATGTATCCTAATAAAAATGTTTTCATTATTATTATTATTTATTTATTTTTTTTTGGTGGGATTGGGGTTTGAACTCAGGGCTTCTCACTTGCAAAACAGGTGCTCTACTGCTTAAGCCACTTTTGCTCTGGTTATTTTGGAGATGGGGTCTCTCAAACTATTTTCCTGAATTGGAACTGAACCACAGTTTTCCCAATCTCAGTCTCCCAAGTAGCTAGGATTATAGGTGTGAGCCACCAGCACCCAGAAATAAAAATGTTTGCAAATTTTTTTTTTTTTTTTGTGGTACTGGGGTTTGAACTCAGAGCCTTATGCTTGCTAGGCAGGCACACACCATTTGAGCCACTCTGCCAGCACCAAAAATGTTTTTTTTAAAGGTATTAATTGGCATTCTGTGATCAGCTGAATCTGGCACATGGGTTTTCTCATGGAGAACCACAATGCTCTGAAGCCCAAGTACAGGCTCTCATAAGTCCTGCAGCAAAAAAAAAAAAAAACCTGGTTAATGTTGACGCACTTTTACATATGATCACAGAACCCGGTTTATTTTGTGTTTTAAAATAAGCTTCAGAACCCAGTTAAGGAAATAATGCTTTAAAGTCTCAAAATCTTAAAATATCTGGGGATTCAGGGTGTAGCTAAGTGGTAGAGCACTTGCCTAGCATGCATAAGGCCCCAGATTCAAACCCCAGCAAAGCAGAAAAAAACAAACAACAGAATATCTCAACAGAAGGTAAGTCCTAAGGGTGATTATTAATTTAGTTCTTTTCAGTGTAGATGTTGGTTGCCCGGTTTTTACACTGTGACAAAAGTCTGTATGTGATTTAACCTTTAATTTATTTTAGTATTTTTTCTCTTTATTTTCTTGTTGATGTTGCAGTCCAGTGATTGAGGATGCTTTTCACTTTCCGGGAACAGACCCAAGAGGAGTGAGATGGGTAAGAGAGGTGGGGACACGGGGAAGGAGAGCTGTCCCTGGGGACTCACCCCTGTCGCCTTCTGTTTTGTGTAGGCATATTTGTCCCGGGTGAGTCTTTCAAATCGGTAGGTGGGTGCGAACGTGATCTCTTCTTCCTCTGAAACAGACATGGGAGCTTTAGTTTTGATTCCTCCAGCTTTGACCTCCAGCCAGGTTTCCCTGTCCTGCAGACACAACCATTTCCCAGCAAGGACATTTGGGGAGGCAGCAGGGCAGCTGTGATCTCACCAAAGTGCAAGAAAACCTTCTGCTCCCTCCTCTCCGTGAGCAGCTGGTCGTGGACCAGCAGATCTGCATACTGCTGTTGCTTGATCTTCTGCACGATGGCTTCTGCCTCCTGGAACAAGGACAGGGTCATGTGGGACCCTTCCTCATCTCACCGCAGCTGGCCACACCAGGACCTGGGTTCTGGCCCTGGGTGACTGGGTTGCTGCTTCCTGGTACTCAACCCCCTTATAAGGAAATGCTGAGGACACAGAGCAGTCCAGTAACTAAGCTTCTAAGAAGGCTGGTCCAGATTTGCCTGTGGATTGTTAATTTTGTATACTGCTTTAGTATAATTTTTAATACTTCATGAGCCAGCTCATGTGTCCTTTTTGATTTCTCTTGCTCTCTCTATGAAAATAGGGACAGCCCACTAATGCCCATGAATTAGAGGAAGCTCTGGCCCCTGAATTACTGTGCATCAGACTCCCTCACCCTGGCTTGTCTGATTACAAGTCAGTGCCACATCAATGGGACTTGCTGGCTTTGGAGTCTCCCCTTCCATGGCTTCTGTGACCTCAGACCAGGTGCTGAGCCTCTGCTCTGGTGAGCTGCTGTGCCAGCCCTTCCCTCGGGAGGATCAGGAGGCAAACCCTGTCTACCCACCCACCTGCCTGCTCTTACCCAGGGAAAAGAAAAGCTGCCCTGGAGCATCTTGGGAGGAAGGCGTGGTTTGGCCCCAGCTAGAACTGGCTGCTCAGCCTCAACAGAGTTGCAATGGTGGCCAGAGACCTTTAGGTGACTAAGGGACATAGGGGCAGGTACGGGCTTAAACCTATCAGTGTCAGCAATTTTCTTGGCCCCTTAGTGTCCCCACCAGTAAAATTGAACTTGTTCCTGCTGTGTTTTCTTCCTCCCTCACAGGACTGCAGTGGAAAAATATTTTAAGGCCCCTGGGGTGATGCATGAAACAGACTGCTTGTTAACCCCAGTCTCTGGGCAGAAGGACACTCTGCTGCCCTAGTTTTTCAGAGCTCACAGAAACAACCATGTGGATTCCAGAACATCCTGTGGTCACCCCTGCCCACCCCATTCCAGCTCAAAGGTAATGTCTTAGGCTGGCCGGTGACCACGACTTGGTGAGATAAATAAGCTGGTCCTTATACTCGTGCCCAGCCTGGACCTAGTTTGGCACCTGAGGGGCTGGAGCTGGCAGACTGGATGACCTGAGCAATAGTGACTGTGAGGACAGGGAGCCCTGGCACTCGTGAGCAGAAGTGAACTGAAAGAAAGGCCCAGACTCTGTTGTGGAAACAACCTGGAGCCCCTGTGTGTCCTTGTGTCTCTGTGACGGTCTGCCCTGAGCTGACTGTAGGAAGCTTCTGTCCCTTGCAGTTCTGGGCCTGGGTGAATGCTCCTTACCCAGGTGGGTAGCTCCACGCGATAGTTGAGATCCCCAAGCCAGAAGAGGTGGGTAAAGCGGTGGGTGATGTTGAAGGGACTCAGCTTCTTGTCTCCCAGAGCCAGAAACCGCAGAATGTTCATGTAGTTTTGGTTTCGCCTAATTCAAGGGAAAAGCAGCCATTTTGCACGGGGTCACTGGCCCTTCCACTCACCATGGCAGGAAGTCAAAGGGGTATGTGAGGACAGGAAACCCAGACCTCCACCCCTGCTGCAGGGGACCACCTGAAGAACGGGCTTCTGAGGCCCAACTAGGAGCAGAGAGGGCCAAGCCTGAGCAGGAATCTGCCCAGCAGAGAATCAAAACAGGGCATGTTCTCGAAGCTTGTTATCACACCTAGGCCATCAGCAGGAAAAATGGGCTTTGATTTGTCAAGATACCCCAGACTAAGATTTTCTTTGGCAGTAAAGTGTTTTTTGGAGTCTATTCGGTTAATGGTTCAAATGTCTTTTCTGTCCTCCACACCTGTCCCCCAAACCTGAGGTCTCTTCTGTGCTACAGTTGCTTCGGTTGAGACTCTGGAGGTCCAGGTCTCAGGTCAGGGCTGAGGTCATTGGGGTGCATGGTGTGTGAGGGCTTCTGGGTGAAGAACCCCCATTCAGGCTCCAGAGAGAATGATCCCCAATTACCTAAGCTTCTTTTCACTTCCAGAAGTCAAGTGGCTGTTAACAAACCCCAAGGAGGTCCCATTGAACATGAACGACACCCCCACGGCTCCCTTGTTCCCTAAGGGAAGAGAAAGAAGAATCAGAATATCAAACAGGCAAACCTAGTCAGGCATAGTGGCACAGGTCTGCAATCCCAGCATTGGAGAGGCTGAGATAGCCTGGGTTACGCAGCAAGACCCTGTTGCAATGCAAAACAAAAACCCAGGCATATTTGCAAAGGGTAGGAAATCAAGATAAGGGAAAGTATTGACAAAGAGTGAGAGAAAAAACAGGGAAGATGAGGCAAGAGAAGAAAGCAGATGTGGTCACTCGGGGACATGGCAGACAGGCAGACGGCCAGTGGCCTTGGGTTTCTCCACAGGGCAGAAGAAGGAGGCTGCTGTCATCCACTCCTGGCATCTCCAGCAAGGGGGGTGGGTAGTAGCCACTGTGCTAAGCAGGCAGGGACAACAACTAACTTATGGTCCCCAGTGAGACCACAGACCTTCACTGAGATCACATCCTTTCCTCCTGATGCTTTGATCTGGTCTAGACCAGGGGTTCTCAGACTGTGTTACCTGGACCTGCAGCAGCAGCAGCCTTGGGGAACTTGCTGAAAAGGCAAACATTAGACCACTGAATCAGGGATTCTGAGCCCTGGATGACAAGCCGACCACCGATACTGGCCCACCACCAGCTAAAAGTGGTGGTTTTTACATTTTTAACTGGTTTGGATTTTAAAAATCAAAAGAAAAATAATCTTTTGCAGCACACTAAGATATGAAATTCAGATTTTAGTGTTCACAAATTACATCCTCTTGGACCACAGCTTTTCCCTTCATCTAGGTATTGTCTCTATATGGCCTTTCTCAGCCCACGACAGAATCGAGGAGTTGTGACAGAACCAGCAGTCTACTATATTCTCAGAAAGGCGGTCCACCCAGGCTAATGTTTAAGAACCTGCTTTGTCCAATATGGCAGCCACAAGCCACCTGTGGCTCTAAAGCACGTGCAACGTGGCAGGTCTGAAATGAGATGGGTGTTAGGTGCAAAACACACAAGGGATTTGTGGGTCCTGGTAAGAAATCCAGGTGTTATCTCACGATTTTTTATATTGACTACCCTATTGAAATGATAACATTTCAGATGTATGAAGTCCAATAACAATCTATTATTGAGATCAATTTTATCTGTTTCCTTTTAATTTTTAATGTGCTTACTAAAAGATTCAAAGTCTCTGTCTGGCCCCCATTTTCTTTTCTTTTTGGTAGGTAGTACTGGGGTTCAAACTCAGGGCCTCATGCTGGCTAGACAGGCGGTCTACCACTTGAGTCACTCTGCCAGCCCTGTCTGGCCCCCATTTTATCTTGGCTCTGAGTAGACATAGACTCAGAGGGAAACTTGGAGACTGTCTCCTTAGGGCTCAGAAAGAATAGTGGGCCAGGTGCTGCTGGCTCACACTTCTAATCCCAGCTACTTGGGAGGCTGAGATCGGGAGGATCTCAGTTTGAGGTCAGCCAGGGAAAACAATTCAACAGACCCCATCTCCAAAAATAACCAGAGCAAAATGGACCAGAGGTGTGGCTTAAGCTGTAGAGAACCTGCTTTGTAAGCTTGAAGCCCTGAGTTCAAACCCCAGCCCCATCAAAAAAACAAGGAACTGTGGCCTGAACCCTAGATGGTGTACTAGTAATGCCAGCAGAGCCAGAGTGAGGACAAGCGCTACTGGCCCTCCGCCCTACCTTACCCCTGTGCCTCTCATTTCCTGCTATGTCCTCTTCTCAGAGTGGTTTTAGGGGTCCCACACAACCTGGGTTTGAATCCCTGCCCTCTACTTATCCCCGGATCTCTGGCAAGTTGGGGAACCTCTCCACAGCCTGTCTCTTTTCACTTAGGACTGGGGAGAACCCAGTGCCTGCCCCACCCAGTAGCAAAGCTTTTAGCTCAGCCGTGCTTAGGGTCCACCTTCAAGAAGCCTGAGGGGTTCTTAGGATGTAGACTCTACCTCAAGGGTGCCCTCAATGGCCTCAGAGCTTGGCCTCTGCCCAGGCCTCATCACTTCTCAGTCTGCTGGGCCTTCTTAAAGGAGCCCCTTAGACTGCCCTCTCAGCAGTACTCAGGGCCTCTCTGCCCACACTTGGCCACCACCACCATGCTCACTCTTGGAGGCCATCTTCTTCCCACCTGTTGGCTCACAGGTTGTGGCGCCCTAGAAAGCAGGGTTCCCATCTGCTCCATACAGACTCCCATACCTAGCCCCAAACCTGGTCCAGGCACGCCGTGGAGATGAGTGGGACTGGGGAAGTGGCTGGGGAACGGGCCTGGCTGAGGAGCTGTGGTTGTATCTCACGATGGGAGGTTTGAGTGAATTACGTGCTGAGGGGCAGAGGCCAGTGGGAAAGACAGGAAGCTTAGGGAAGGAAGAAATCCAGTCAAGGGAAATTCTGGGCAACAGATGGGCGGGGCTCAGACCAGGCCAGGCCAGCCCCACACTTCCACTGCTGCAGGAAGGAAGGAAGATTGAGTGGGTGTGGACGTGGGCAGTTTGAGGTTTGTCAGCAGAAGAGCTCAGAACTTTTCTTATTCGATTGCATCAAGTCTATTTCCTGTTCGCACTGGGCCTCTGTCCTGTCCCCAACTCCAAAGACCACAAGCTTCTGGCCTGGCCTAAACTCCATTCTCAGTCCTGTGTGTGTGGCCTTTTTCACGTGCACTCAGACACTCCCATGCACACACCCACACATTGAGAACACACGCACGGATTCACACTCACATAGACTCACAAACACACAAGCACACATCTAGTCACTTCCACAGGTTAGCCATTCACACACATGCAGTCACCTCCACACAACCACACTCACTCACACTAATGCAGCTCTCTCTTAACTCAGGTCTCTGAAGCAGCCTGACTGGAACCCACCAGCTCAGAGCCTGTGCCAACAGTCTAGCTCCCACCTGGAGAAGGGGGACCTAGGTCAGGTCGGCAGCCTACAGCCTGTGGTAAACTCCAGTCTGAGTTTGTAAACAAAGACTCTGATCATAGCCTCCTCATTCTTTTTTGGGTGGTGGTGGTGATACCGGGTTTGAACTCAGGACCTCATGCTTGCTGGGCAGGTATTCTACCACTTGAGCCACGTCGTCAGCGCCTCATTCAGTTTTTGTGTAGACTATGGTAGCTTTCAGGTGGCAGTGACAGAGATAAGTAGATGCCATATGGACGAAGCGTAACCTTGCTGACTTCTGTTCTAGGTTCTTGCTACTCAAAGTGGGGACCCTAGACTGGTTGGCCGCACTGATGTCACTTATCAAACCTGGAATCTTGGGCTCCACCCAAGACCTACTGAATCAGAACCAGAGCTAGTTTAAACCCCGGCTGAATTTCAGCTAGAAGGACCAACCATCCAGCTTTTCCCAGAACTGAGGAGATCCCAGGACAAGATTCTCAGGGTGTCATCTGGGGACGTCCCAGGTGGCCTGGATGAGATGAGCACGTATGAGATCTCGACTTCCCTCCCACTCACCCAGGGTGTTCGCAATGCCCGTCTTCACATTGTCAGTGCAGATGTGGCTGATCCGGTTCTCGTGCTCCGGCTTGGCCAACACCACGATGCGGATATTCCAGAGGGTGTGGATGGCAACCTGGTGGGCAAGTGCAGTCTTTGAGCCCAGAGCACAGTAATCCACCCAGACCAAGTCCCTAGAGGTGGAGTGCCCTGTCTGTAACCTCTAACCTTTGGGGAAACTCCTAACAATGTCCAGCAATGACACAAAGCATCTCAGAGATGAGAACCAGACTAACGACCCTTCCATGAAGTGAAGATTACCTCCTGCAAGCAGGAGTGGGGATGTGAAGCACTCAGTGATTTTTGCCAACAGCCTCAGCAATGTCTGAACATGGCACCCGGAAGCATCTTTCTGGCTCTTGAAGTAGGGGACATCCGAGCACCCCAGATATCTTTGGAAGAGGAGAACTGATAGCCTGAACGTGCCCCGGCCTCTGATACATTCCTGGCTGAGCAAGCAAAGCCCACCTTCTTGGGAGTCCAGTACCCTTCACCCTCAGGGCGTGGTCAGTCACTCACTGTTTTAAAAGTCATGCTGGTGACTTCTTGCAGGGAGTGTCTGAGAATCTCCAGCCACTCCTTCTCTCCCAGGGGGTCCTCCTGGGTGCCAATCACGTAGATGTCATGGGGAATGTAGTCGGCTGAGTCGTCCCGCGTCTTTCCCTGCCCCTTGGAGAGAAACCAGGACGTGATCTTCTTGGGAGGGGGGGCGTTACCTTCAACAGCAAAACCCAACACCAAGTGAGTCAAAGGCATGTCAGGTCAACGGCACCAGGGGAGTTAAAAATGGGGTGAGAGGCGGGTTACGCAGTCACTCAGAACCATCAAGACAGATGCCTTAGGTGAAGAACTGCTGTGAAAAGGGCACTCCTGTCCTGTGCAATGCAACAGCCCAGCCCCAATCAAAAGAACTCTGCGGACAGAGGAAAAACTGAAAGGTGCTTGTACCACATGTGGGAACCCCTGAGAGCAAGAGCTGAGGGAATCAGGGTAACCACAAGAGATTTTGAAAAGGACAGAAGAGGACCTGGGACCCTGGGGCACTGGACAGGGCTCTACTTCAGTGCCACAGTGGCCCCCACACATATGGTTGTGGCCTGGCAAGCTACTGGAAGTGGGGGCAGGCTGATGCCCTCTGCATCAGAGATCAGGAAGCACAGGGGACACTAAGCTCCAAAGCCTTTGTCTTTCCTCCTGGACACCCGGCCCCCACCACAGCCTTTTTCTTTCCAGGCCCCTGCCTCTCCAAGCAGAGCTGCTCACCCTTCTTCTAGGTCTGCCCTGGGACTACATGATGGGGCAGGGAAAGGGTGTCCCAACTATGCCCAGGATGAAGAGGGGAGGCAAAAGAAACTGATGAAATTTGAATTTCAGATCAATGGCCACTTTTAGAATAGGCATGGATTGCTGTTATCTGTGACTCAGGTTTAATGGCATCTTCTACCTACTTATTTATTTCTAGCTGAATACATATACCAAATCATTATTTAGCATAATTTAAAATTCATATAATGCATATATTCAGCAAATACACTATGTATATAAATACGTAGTGTACGTACTTAAGCCTAATGTATATCTAGTTCAGATTTTTTTGTTTTGCGGTACTGGGGCTCGAACTCAGGGACTTCACCCTGAGCCACTTCACCAGCCCTATTCTTGTGAAGGGTTTTTTGAGCTAGAGTCTCAGGAACTATTTGCCTGGGCTGGCTTCAAACCACGATCCTCCTGAGCTCTGCCTCCAGCACAGCTAGGATTACAGATGTGAGCCACCGGTGCCTGGCGTATTTCATATATTTTTAATGCTTATTTCTACCTGAGTATTTACATCAAAGAATTATTCAGTATATTACATGTTTAGCATATAAATATATATTAGAATACAAACACACGTACTTAGATATATATTTGGCATTTATTTATTTCTAGCCAAACACCTATACTAAAAACTTTTCTTTAGCCAAGCACCGTGGCTCATGCCTGTAATCCTCTGGGCACCAGGAGGCAGCCCAGGCAAATAGTTTGCCAGACCCTATCTTGAAAAATACCCAACCCAAAAATGGATTGGTGGAGTAGCTCAAGTGCTAGAGTGCCTGCCTAACAAGCGTGAGGCCCTGAGTCCAAACCCCAGTGCCACCAAAACAAAACAAAACTTTATATGAAATTCAAATTTAACTGGTATCCTCTATCCACTTATCTACTGATCTCTTCCCCTCCTCTCCTCCTCCTCCTTCTCCTCTCCTTCCCCCCTACCCACCACAAGTCAGGCCCGGGGCCCCTTGTTGAGCTGCCCTTGGCTAGCAGGATGCTCGTGGACCCCCTTCACCTTGATATTCAGATTCTTTACCTAAAACCTTCTAATTTGGACATGCAAAGTAACCCACTCTGCCTACTTTTGGGGCACACTAGTCCCAGTGCTCTTTTTTCTTACTCATAATCTCAGAAACAGACTGGAGATTGGACAGGGAGGCAGAGCAGGATACACGGGGGTCCCGGTGGATATTGAGAGACAGGGAGGGGGCATGGGGACCCACCCATGTTCCAGGTGCCGATGAAGATGGTGATCATGTCAGGCTCTGGCTGCTCGGAGTGCTTGTTCTTCATCTGCTGCAGCAGCTGGCAGAAACCTTCTCTCTTCTGGGAATGGAAGGGCAGACAGACTGAGAAAGGCCTCCACTGCCCTGCACACTACACTCTGCAAAGGCCTTCACCAGCTTCAAAAACGCTGAGGGAGCATAAATCAGTACAAACTTGCAGGGCAGCAACCTGGGGATAGGTGTCCAGAGCCAACAGCAAGTGGCTTCTTGGACCCAGCCATTCCACTGCAAGGATGTGATTCGAAGAAGAAAATCAGAAAATGCACAATGATCCACACTATCATGATGCTGCATCACGTGTTGCAATCCAGAAAAACTCAGCAACAACCTTGGTGTCCCATTGCAGGGGATTCATGAATAATTGTATTTAGGACCATCATAAATACACTGGAGTACCATAGGGCTTTAAAATTCTAGTGCAAGAGTGCTTCATCAACAAGGAGAGATGGCCACAATATATTAAGTATGAAGAGCTACTTGGCCAAGATAGTATGGGTGACACCATGCACTTATTTTTAAAAGATATGTGGGGCTGAGTGAGGTGGCTCATGCCTGTAATCCCAGCTACAAAGGAGGCCATTGGTAAGAGGATCTTGGTTCAAGGCTGGCCATAGGCTGGTTTGGGTCAAAAATGTGAGACTCTATCCAAAAATAACTAAAACAAAAAGCAGTGCTGAGAATGTGGTTCTAGTGGTACAGCACTTGCCTAGCAAGTGCAAGGGCCTGAGTTCAAACCCCAGTACAGCCAAAAATAAAATAAATAAAAAGAACAGGGGGAAGGGTGCAGTTTAGGGTCCCCTTGTGGTGTATGGTTATTTTATGCTCTCCTTATTTGCATTTGCTACTTTTTCACCAATGAGAATAGGTAACTTCTGTGATGAGAGAAGAAAATTTAAATTTGAGAAATTAAGTAAAAACAAAGTCTCTGCATGCTATCATAACTGCCTTTGTCCTTTTCACTTATTGTTCCTGGGGCCACAGAGAGCCACAAAGCACACTCACCCCTCTAGGTGACAGGCAATAAGGCAGGCTGGCTGTAAATGAGGGGACACAGAATTTCGAGTTGTGCCATATGAGAGAACTGATGTTTGACTGTCTTGGGGATTCAAAGCCAGCAATTTCACGATTCATAATTGCCTATCTCTGTAGTCCCCTCTGAAGACACCAGCTCACAAAGACATAATGATGGCTTCTTTATTGAAACCCATCTTTAGTTGGGATGGCTCAAATTTGGTGTCTCAATCCTCCCAAGCTTGCAGCAATGGGGCAGAACTAACTGGCTTTTAGATCTACCCCCATGTGCCCAGATGCTGCCCAACCAGGTAGCGTTTCTTTTTGCTTCCCACCACCTGCCTGCCCCCTCCTAGCACCCCACACACTTCACTCCAACACTCACCCTCAGGCAGGTGGCACTGGGCAGGAGCTGTCTCCATGAGTGTGCCCAGCAGCCTTGCCCACAGGGCTTGACATGCAGGTCAGCCAGCGCCTATCAGGATGGGCACCCTAACTGTTTTCACTGCCTCATGTGAGCTGAGTGTAAGCAAGAGACTTCCATGCTGGGTCTCAGCCCCTTGGTGGGGTTCCTGAAGTGAGCGATCAGGTCACAGAGGACCTGCCCCTGGCTGTGCACACCAGGGGTTTTTCCACTGGTCCATGGCACCTCTTAATCTGGGCGAATGTCACATCTGTCAAGTGGGACAGTGCATAAAAATGCAAGTGTCTAGAAGGGAACACTGGTGAGAACTCAGATTTAAATCCGGGGTGACCCAGAGAAACTTAAAACCTTCTAGCCAGGCTTGGGTCAGGGTGTCAGGCAGGTGATAGATAAAGGACCCCGTGCTCATCTGGAGGCAGCCTGGCTTGGTGGGAAGGAGAGCAGGAGCTGTGACTGAACAAATCCCAGCTGACTCGGAACCTGGTCTTAACAGCCTTGAGCTCAGTCTGCCCAGCTGTGAAATGGGTTGCTCTGAGAGCCAAACATGTCATGATCCTCAAAAGACACACATCCCCTCACTCTCTCTTAGCCCATCTTAGAAGTCAGTTGTCATCTATAAAATGTGAAGCCTTGAGTTCAATCCCTACTTCCTACTACTGACAAATGTTAAAAAAAATTTTAAAAAAAAGCTGATTTTCACTTACTTTGGAGTCAGCAAAAACATACTCCTTCCGCAGGATCTTCTCCTTCTCTGTTTCCACCAGGATCACCAACTTGTTCAGAAACTTCTGTGACTTGATGAGCTGCAGGACTGAAGCAACACGGAAGCTCACTCAATTGTTCATCCAGACATTTAACCACTATGTCCACAACTCCACTATGTTCCAGGCACCAGGCACCTGACCTTGCCATCCTCAGGCTGGGCCAGGAGTCTGTGCCTGTGTTGTGGATGCTCTTCTGTAGAGGCTCGGGTGTGGGAAGGGTGGTACCCAGATCAAGCAAGAGGTAGCCTGGTCAGAGACAGTGTGACTGTCCATCTTTTCATATTCCTCCCTCCACACTTCTCCTCTCCTTCCTTCTTTTGCTTTTCATTTATTTAATTTTTTTTTTTTTTACTTTTTGTTTTTATCAAACATAAAGAGTTAGATTGTTCTGTAAGATTTTTGCAAACAGTACCTCTCCACTCCTCCTTTTCAATTTCCTGATCCCTGGACACAACCAATTTCAACTCTCCTAATGGATTCTTTTGGAATTTTATCATTTTTTTTCTTTTTTTCTTTATTTGTGGTTCTGGGGTTTGAACTCAGGGTCTACATCTTCAGCCACTCCACCAGCACTTTTTCGTGAAGGGGTTTTTGAGATAGGGTCTCGTGAACTACTTGCCCAGGTTGGCTTCCAACCACTATCCTCCTAATCTCTGCCTCCTGAGTAGCTAGGATTACAGGCATGAGCCACCAGTGCCTGGCTAATATTTCTTTAACTTTTCTTTTGGTGGCACTGGGGTTTGAACTCAAGGCCTCACACTTGCTAGGCAGGCATTTTACTTGAGTCACTCTGCCAGCTCCCCATTTTTTTTTTTTAAATCAACCAGGTGCCAGTGGCTCACACCTGTAATTCTGGCTACTTGGAAGGCTGAGATCATGAGAATAAAGGTTTGAGGCCAGCTCAGGCAAATAGTTCATGAGAGCCCATCTCCAAAATAACCAGAGCAAAATAGATCAGAAGTGTAAGCAGTACAACTCCTGCTTTGCAAGTGTGAAGCTAAGTTCAAACCCTGGTCCCACCAAAAAAGAAAGAAAGAAAAAGGAAAATCATGCTTAGCTTGCTATATCCTGACGTTTCAGCTGTAAATCTTTTCTATTCCATATTGACTTTCCATTGCAGAAGATGGAAGCTTCACTGTTTTTCACACATCCGACCTGCACTCTCCTCTCACCAGCCACCGCAGCATTTCAAGTTCCCAGCCTCTTTTCAACAGATCACAATTCCGGCCAGAGAAATGCTCAACAGTTGTGCTGTTACAACTATGGAAATGCTGTGGACAGTCCGGTCCCGATGGATTTTCTTTTCCTGTACAACTTTTTAAGTTAATAATTACCATGTCTTTTTCTTTACTTCTTTATTTGGGGGAGAAGAACAACACTAAGTTACATACCTAATCCCCAAACCTGTCATTTCCCCCACTTTGTACCTCTTTTCCTTCATCAGTTTGTCCAGTGGGAGACTTTCTTATTTTTCTAGGACTGAGGCAGACCCTTTAGCTTGGATCCTCCTGCATTACCCAAGAGTCTGTTCATCTCTCTCATTGGATCTTGTTTCTTGTTTCCTCTTTCTTAGTTTACACCTTTATTTGGCGGAGTAACATCTCTAGTAACTTTCCAAGAAAGGAAGACTGCGCAATAATTTTTATTGTTTAATCATTTTATTACCATATGTTGTAAAAAGGAATGGGATTTAGCAGGGTGCTGGTGGCTCAGGCATGTGATCCTAGCTACTTGGGAGGCTGAGATTAATAAGGTTGAGGTTCAAAGACAGCCCAGGCAGTGGGATCTCAAAACTATTTGCCTGGGCTGTCCTTGAATCTCAGTCCTCATAATCTCAGCCTCCCAAGTAGCTAGGATTACACGCATCACCAAATAACCCGAGCAAAATAGAGTGGACATGTGGCAGTAGAGTACCTACTTTGCAAGAATGAAGCCCCGAGTTCAAATCCCAGTCCCAGCAAAACAAACAAAAAGAAACCTATTCTTTTTACACAAGCATATAATGTGTTTTAGAGCACCCTCCATACTCTTTTGTCCCCTCCTGCCAGCCCGCTTCCTTTTCTGAAGTAGTCCACCTTCTACTTTCCTATATTTTTTAAAATCTAGATTCTATGTGAGAAAAAACATGTGATACTTTTGTCTGGGTTTGATTTATTTTGCTAAACATGACAATATCCAATCCATCCATTTTCCTGCAAATTACATGGTTTCATACTTCTTTGTGACTGACTCGGTAGTATGTATACGCATTTTCTGTATCCATTCATGCATTGATAGGCACCTGGTCTGTTCCCACAACTTGGCTATTGTGAACAGTGCTGCAATAAGCACGAGTATGCAGGTGTCTCTACTGTATGCTGACTCTGATTCCTTTGGTATACACCCAGGAGTGGTATAAGAGGATCATATGGGAGTTCTATTTTTAGTTTTTTGAGGAACCTCCACACTGATTTCCATAGCAGCTGCACTAATTTACATTCCCACCAAGGGTGTATAAAGGCTCCTTTTTCCCCCTCATCCTCACTAGCATTCATTGTTTTCTTTATTTTTTTTGGTGGTACTGGAGTTTTGAACTCAAGGTCTCATGATTTCCAGGCAGGTACTCTTGTTGCTTGCTTTCTTGACTGGGATTCTGATTGGGGTGAGTTAATTTGCATTTCCTTTATATATAAGGGTTTTCTTCATGAATTTATTGGCCATTTGTACTTTGAGAACAGTCTGTTCAGTTCATTTGTCCATTTATTGATTGGATTATATGATCTTTTGGTATTTAGTTTTTCAAGTAATTCATATGCTTTAGATATCAGATTTCAGGAGAGTTCTCACTTTCCCAGAATTGGCGAGTGGCTCTCTGTGCATACTCAGACCACAGGAACAATATGGTTTATTTGAGTCCCTGTTTTTCCTATTGCAGTCTGGAATCTGGGCACCTGCCAGGCAGAGGCTGACTATGTGACCAGTCCCCAGTAAAAACACTGGGCACTGGGCTAGGGATGCAGCCTGGTGGTAGAGCACTTGCCTAATATGGACAAGGTCCTGGGTTCCATCTCCAGCACTACAAGACAAACCAACCCTGGGCACTAAGTCTCTAATAGAGGGTCTCTGGGAGACCACACTGCATACTTGTCACTTTCACTAGGGGAAGAGTTGAGTGTGACTCCATGGAAAGAACTCTTGGGAGCTTGTGCTTGGTTTTGTCCAAACATCACCCCACCTGCTTTTCCCCTCTGTTGACTTTGCATTGCTCCCTTTCAACTTAGTTAGTCACATCTGTGAGAATGACCATCCACTGAGCCTCGTGAGTTCTCTGAGCACATCAGTGTTTGATGTACCTCCTCCACAGTGCCATGCACTTGAACATTTCAACCTGGAAACACATGGTACCCAGTGAGACAGTTTTCTGACTATCATAATTCGTTTCTGGTTTTCTTTTGCTGACACTTATTATTTTGATGTGAGATGCTGGGCTGGTGTTCTAATTTTAATTTTTTTACCTCTCCTATTTTCTATCACTTTGTCTTTTTGTTCTATTTTCTGGGAGTTTTCCTTAACTTTATCTTTCCATTGAGTTATTTTGTTTTTAAAATGTCTGCCATAGAGAAACTAAAGCAGATACCTTAAAGCAACTGAGGCCAATAGGAAAAGGGTAACAGGTACTAGAAAAAAGGTTAGATCAAAAAGAATTAACCTAGAAGGTAACACCCATGCACAGGAAATCAATGTGAGTCAATGCCCTGTATAGCTATCCTTATCTCGACCAGCAAAAACCCTTGTTCCTTCCTATTATTGCTTATACTCTCTCTACAACAAAATTAGAAATAAGGGCAAAAAAGTTTCTGCTGGGTATTGAGGTGGGGGGAGAGGGAGGGGGCGGAGTGGGTGGTAAGGGAGGGGGTGGGGGCAGGGGGGAGAAATGAACCAAGCCTTGTATGCACATATGAATAATAAAAGAAAAAAAAATGTCTGCCATAATATTTTTACCAGCCCCCCACCCCCAGTTATCCTTCTTCCCCTTTCTTCCCTCTTTCTTTTACATTTTAATTATTTTGTTCCCTTTTTAGATAGCATTCTGTTCTTATTTCAAGGTCCAATTTCTCTTTATCTACATAAATTGATTCTTCCAAGTGTTTTGTCTTTTCATTTATTTTTGCCTAAGTTTCCCACTCTCTCCTGTTTTATGCTCCCTCCATTGTTGCAAGCTCAGAATTAAGACACAGTGGTAAACTGAGACACTCAATTCTGAGCAATTCCCAACTAAAGACAGGTTCCATAAGGACAGCCATCACTGTATGTTCGTAAGTCAGTGCCTCAGGTTTGCAATTTGAGGTTGACTCGTATGAAATTGTTGGTTTTGTGGGTGAATAGTACACCGTGGCCCCTTCACATGGCACCATCTGAAATTTTATGCATCCTCAATTAAAGTCAGCCTCCACGCTGACTGCAACCTAAGACGTGTCTGCTTTGTCCCACTGGAGACCCAGGAAGAATAGTGAAAAATATTAAGGAAGCTGTGATAACCTTCATGTGCTCCTAGCTTCTTTATTTACTGCTTTAACTTAAATTTTTCATGATATAAGTAACATCATTGGTTGAAAAAGGTAGCAAATGCAAATAAGCAAAAGTTTAAATAAAAACATTCATAATACCATTTGCTGACCTTGGACTATACGCTTCCAGGTGCTTTTTTGTTTGTTTGTTCATTTGCTTTTGTTTTGGGGGGCACTGAGGTTGGAACCCAGGGCCCTATGCATGCTAGGCAAGTGTTCTACCACTGAGAGTCACCAAGTGGGAGTTCCACACCCAGAGTCACCTTCTAAATGACTTAAAAATCAACATACAAGAGCTGGTAGAGTGGCTCAAGTGGTAGAGAACCTGCTTGGCAAGCCTGAGTCCCTGAGTTCAAACCCTCATGCTGAATGAATAAATAAATAAAAACATGCAGTAATGTCAAGTAGCTTTTCATGCTTAATGATTTATTGTGTTATCTCTCCTTGTTGATAAAAGTTCTTTTGCAGCACAAATTTAAAATCCTATGGTATTCTGGGTT